GCTCTATTCTGCTGCATCCAATGGACACGAGGAAATAGTGAAAATGCTACTCGCACGGGATGATGTCGACCCCGGTAAGCCGGCTAACGACGGCCAGACACCACTCCAGCTTGCTGCTCAGCGTGGCCATGCAAGAGTTGCAGCTCTACTTCGGTCCCAAGCATCTACAACCCGTTTTGGGCTCTAGGGGGTGAAGGGAAGGAGAAAAGGGAAGCGACGGCGGCAGTGGTGTTTATGCAGCCGTTAGTGTCCTTGCGGAAATGGAAGGTGGGTTATCCATCTCCGGGGGCGGTGGGGATGTGGTATAATACCCCCCCCCCTCCCCCGGATTTAGGTCGTTCCCGGCCCCGCTGCTGCAATCCCTACCCCCGTCTCCCAGAGGTAGCCTGCCGCGGAAGCCAGGCTAAGCATTTTCTCTAGGTGAACGAAAAGCATATACCGCTTCAAATGTACATATCTCGCAATTTCTCTCCTAAACTTCTATATACAATCCCAAGTTTCTGTTCATAATCCAGGATTTGGCATCATTGGATGGCTAGTTCTACCATTGCATTATAATCCAGTCCGAGTCCGGCTCAGAGTTTTCATCACAATGCTTTTACCTTTCTCGTTCATTCGCTTTTTTCCTTCACCCAAAATTCTTTTCTTCCTTTCCCCCCCCCCTTTCCCCCCTTCCAAGTTATAGACCCGTTCAATCAGCCGTAGAGAAAAATGGAAAGCAAAAGTTATCCCTCTCACTCATCACAAGCGACCAAAAAGCCAACGCGGTTGACCAATGCCCGCTGGCAACCGTTTCCCACAACGAACACAATTCAATAAAGAAAGACCCCATCCCTCCCAACCCCCTCCAACTTCCGCAAAAGGCAAGCCAAAGCCGAATCTGTCATACCAACATTCACCCCTCTCCCTCCCCCACACATACACACACATACACACACAATCTGATCTTTAGCACATAGAGGCGGATTTCAACCCATGAGATTGGGATTAAGAAGACAATCAACAGACAAGGCCTGAGCGCAAGGCTCCAACAGTAACGTGAGGGGGGGCGGAAAAGGTGGATGCATATCGGAGTCGTGAGGTTCACCCGTAATGTTGCGGTTGAGCGTGGATCTGAGAACTTATAGCCCTTTTTCCTACCTGTCCGAATTTCTAACTACGCAGCTCCCCACCTCCCACATCCCCATTGGATCTAAAAGGTTTTTTTTTTCTTTTTTCTCTCACCGGTCCGGGTAGCGGTACCGTGCTGGATCGTCTTGTGTTGTATCGTAAAATATGTTGAGTAAGCTTGCTTTTACAATATTGAAACATGGCTTCTGACACTACCAGTAACGGATATTGTGGCATCATTCAGACTATTACTTTTTCTCCTTACACCAATTCGTACCCTAGGCACACATCTAGGCCTCCGGTACTATTGAAGATACCTCCTTACATTTTTTGTTACTGTTCGCTCAACCTTATTGTCTCGCTCACAATAGTAGATAGTAAGAGCTTCTCGCTCTTCCTTCTTCTTTGCTGTGCAAAAAACTCCTCATAGTACTTTGACAATATACAACCCTAATATCAAGCGAGTGAGAGTTCGTGAGTCTGCTGCAGCTCATTGCTTAGGGGAGTGAGAGGCAACACTCGTGCACACGAACATGAGCAAACAGCACGAAGCCCGCCGAGCGGCTGATATTGGAACCGGGTTTCACTGTGTTTAATCAAGTTTTTCAAAGGTTAAATTATGGCCAGTCTTTCATGGCGGTAAAGGAGGGAAGGTAAAGCCTTTCCCACATCGGTCAAGGCTTCAGGAGGAAAGGGGCGCACATAGCTTTCGCATCCAAGGATGTGACCACTAAGCGGTACATAAATCGGGCAAGGCCGTCGGCTGCATGAATCTACAACAACATACTGTCCCCTAGCTGCATCGCGTTCCCAGCACGCGACCCCCCCATGCCGCGACCCAATGCTGAAACAAATGCGGTCAATCATGATCTCCACCATCCCCCCAGCAGGCAACACAAGCAATGATAAACACAATGATAAACATATGGACGGATTGATGCACATGGGCTATTGTGCAGAAGAGCGTGGAAAAGAATTCCCCCAAACTAAAATAAAAAATAAAAACCCCCTCAATTCCAGTCTAATCCTCATCCATAGCCCCCACATGTCCAGGCTTACTCACATCAATATCAGCTGCAAAGCTCGCCTCCTTATCCACCATCTCAACCAACACGCCCACAATATTCTCTTCGATACCCCGCTTACCCAATTCCTCCAAATGCTTCTTCAGATCCATCTTCCCAACGTAGCGGGTCTTCAAATCATCCTTCGTCAGGCCGTTCTCCTCCTTGACGCGCTTCTCATAGGAATCGGCCAGGCCAACCATCTGTTCTAGCGCTCTTGGTTCTCCCTAGCAAGGGGCCTAAAGTCTCTCATCGTCAGGCCATCGGCCCAAACCGTCTTGTGCAGGTTCATGAGCATGTTCTCCAGGTGCGTTTTGCGGTAGTTGATGAGGATAGAGTAGTAATGTCTATTCAACCCGTGGACCAACGCCTGGATAGAGGCTTATTGAGATGGCCGAGGTTGGAGGTGGTCTGGCGGGGCTCCTGTGCGAGCATGAGGGATTGTGGGTTGAGGTAAAAAATTAAAAAATTAGCTCCGTATGGATAAGTAAAGAAAGGTCCGATAAAAACAAACCATCCCCGGAGGTGCGTTCACCCCGCCAAGTCCTTGAACCGCAGCATACACCTGGAGCCGGTCCATAGTAGATTGTGTGAGGAGTGGAGCGAGTGTTTGATGGATGGATAGATGGATAAAAGCCGGATGCGGCAGACAGAACACCACTCTATTGTATTGCTTGGAATGGCCACGAGGGAGTGGTAGAATTACTGCTCGGACTGGGCGAAGTCATCCGAACAAGCCGAATACATTCGGCCGGACAACGCTCCGGGGGGTTGTCTGGCATGGCTATACAGGAGAGTAGCTCTACTACAACCTCTAGCATCCGCCACACCCAGTGCGACCTAAATCCGAGGATACATCACCCCCTCACCACCTCCGACCACGGATAGCTCACCTGCCACCTCCGTAAGGACTGCAACATCTCCATTGCCCCCCGCTGCCACCCCTAACATTTCCTCCCACCACTCTCCCTCCTCGACTCTAAAACGTTGACCTGTAACAATTTCTATCACCTCTTTCCTTCCAGAGCCAGCTTGCCGCAGAGACTCAGCCTAGATGTTCCCTCCGGTCGAGGGAAATCATGTACCGATCGGAATATACATACCCTCACAAACTCTCCCAAACCTCTATACAGACTTTCTTCTGTAGCTGCGTCGGGATTCCCAAGTTTCGGTTTATAATTTCGATTGACTTCAGTTCAGGGTTATCCCTACCCCAACGAGATAATCCAGTCTGAGTCTGGCGTGGAATTTTCATTATAATATTCCCTTTATCCTCCATTTACCTCCCTCACCTACAATCCACCCCCCTAAATATAGACCAAAACAGCGTTTTCACATTAGAGAAAAAATATAGTGAAAGCTTTTCTAATATCATACCAGCCGAAGAGACACCAAAGCTCGCCGGCAAGGCCCAATAGTAATCAGCTCCCTCAAAGAACGCAGTCCAATATCCAATAGTCTAACCACCCCACCCCTGCATACCCGCAAAAGCCAATGCCGAGCCTACCAACATTTACCCCAACTGACCGACGAAACAAACACCGCATCACTCTTCAACCCCAAACCCAAACCCCCCTACAGATTCTGTACAAACCCGAATAACACTTACACAGAAACCTCTCGCACAACCTCTAATACAGCCCACCTAACTAGTATATACTGTTCTATAATGGTGGGTGCCTCCAAAATGAGCATGTAAAAAAGAACGCAATAATACTGGACAGGGTATAGGGCACTTCAACAAAAAACACTCTTCATAAATTAAAAATTAAAAATTACCACTATATATACAAATACAAGGTACTCCATCTACAACTTTTAAATTCCTAAAAGCATGAATTTTACTAGGAGTCAGGGAGAACCTTCTCACCAGAATAGGAATTAGGTTGTGAAGTTTGTAAATCAAATCAACAATGGAAGAACTATGATATAAATTATAATAGGGTAATCACTAAAAATAATACTATTATAAAACATTAATCAACATAGCCTAAGAGCCAGCACTAATCACACAAGTTGATAACAGGAAACATCTACCATAATTATATAATTTAATAACCAATAATATTTTAGTTTCTTATAGGCTAGATTCTGATGGTAATAGATCTTGGTGGAATAATCTTAATATCTATAATAACTATCATATTAACTCTAACTCTTTTAAAACTTATAGAGCACTGTGGAAACACACGGCCAAATATTTTCCATAATATGGTATACAACACCACTCAGCCCAAACCATTACTTTCTACCAACCCGCCCGCCCAGACAGCCAGTCCCGAGCACCGCAAAGACTGCTCAGACACAGCCCTCAACTACGATTCTACTCATGGCTGTCTCCAGTCATTTGGAGGGATAGCGAATGTTACCCGTTCGTCTTTCCCCACCGAGATTCCATCCACCCCGGGCAGGTAACCAAAACCTCACTAGAGCTACACCGCACTGCAGCTCCAACCCCAGTGGGCAGCGGCCCCCGCAACCTAATACCCACCACAAAGAGAAGATTTCAGTCCACGAACCCAGGACCAGACAAAATCAGACCAATCCAGAAGCACAAAATCCTTAGCGTGTGTGAGGGTATCATCCAGAGCAGGCCGCAGAGGAGCATCCAGGCTAGGACTATCATATCCTCACCCGCAATGTCCAGGGTCAATTGCGTATTTAAATATCCAAATTGGGCCTTCCCCCCCTCTTTACTCCATTAGTGAACCATCCCCCCTCCTATCATAGATCACCATTCGGATCGGAAGCCATTTTTCATAGCGACCCAGCCAAGGGTGTCCATTACATTTACGGTGAAAAACTCATACGCATCGTATAATGGTAATATTGTACCATATTCTACGCTAGGTGGGTTTCCCTTCCGATCCCAAAGCTTATACGACTGACGCTCTATGATGACGTTACCAAATGACCGGGGAATAAGTGGTGATGTCCGATAGCCAAGTTACCCTATTAGAGGCGATAGCACTCTGATGTAGCCGTGTGTATTATGAACAGAGTGAAGTAGAATTATTTTTTTCCCGCACGTATTGTAGAGTACACCCGCGTCCACAAAGTTCCCATAACTTGTAACTAATCGTGGTAGCTTTGTTTAGAGCGTACTTTATTGCGTAGTTTTCTTCAAAGCCATTCACCAAGATTTGCGCGACTAGCCCAACTAGTTACGGTAGTCTATGTGGTGAATCTCTGATCCTGAATTATCCTAGGTTCTAACGAAAGGCTAGGCTATTCACCAGGATATCCAACGTCTCCTAGACTATGATACTACCGGCACCTATGCTAACCCCCAAACGGTATGTTGTTTTGTCGAATTTATCCCCGGATCGTTAAAAGGATGCGGCAGATTATGATACACAAAATCACTTCTCAAAAGTATTGTCCCACCTTCTAAAACTCCACCAAAAAGTGCATAAACATGGGCAATTAACTAGCCCATATCTATATATTAGGGTATCCTAAAAAAATACAAAAAGTTTATACAAGTTTCTTTTCACAAGGACCACACTATCATAATATTATAATAAAAATGGGAAAACTTTTGTGTTTGGATGAGCTGCACCTGGGTTTACATAGGCATGGTGTGATAAAAAGCAAATCCCCACTAAAGCTTGCCAAATTTGTATGAGGGCTTGGCGTTCCATATCAACCATCGTACAAAAATGAATACCAAACCTGTAAAATAAATAAATAAAATAAATAAAAATCAGCAAAATATTCTCCTTATAAATATCTGCTTTTGGTGGTTTTTAGCAGTTTTCAATAGTTTTCTTTTATTGTTTTTTCGGTTAATGAATATACCGACTTTTGCGGGAAAACGGAGTATGGGACAATACTTTTGAATGGTGAGTTACGTATGAGAGCAACTCGCTACAAATTCTGTGCTCGCTGGGCCCCTATGGATATCAGAGGGCCCATTCCGTATCTTCACCGAACCAGCCTCCTACGGGTTACGAGAAGAGCCTACTAGCTTGCGCCCACACTAATTTACAGAGAAATATACTATAGTGGGTTAAATTAAGGGATCAGCGAATTCTTCAACTGGTCAATTCATAGGGCTTGACGTACTGTACTTGCGCTTGTATAACAAGCTGGAGGAACTCACTAACCGTGCCAAGGGTACAGAGCCCCGCGAGTGTTCGTCCATTGCAGCAAAAGATTTGCGCCACGTAGCGAGCGAGCGCCTACAAACTTGTGGCATTTTGCACTACCGATAGGGTAAGTATAAGCAGAGGGTATGCCGCAAAAGTTCTGGGAAGGGTAATTGGAAAGTTCAAAGGAAAAGAGTATATCCGTAAGGTTCCACAAAAGACCCCCTCCTTTCCTCAGCCCACAGGAATTTCAGCAGTCGACTACCCATGACTTCACCATCCATCCATCATCCACGATATCCCAAGCTACAAAACTCTGCAAATGTCTCAATCACTTAGTAACAATATCAACTCTTTTAATGTGTCCAACACCTTTACTCTTGCCGATAACCGATCCAATATCCTAGCCTGGCTATCCCCACTTGATCCCAAGTCAAGGCATCAGGACATTCGAGAACGCAGAGTCGAAAATGTAGGGGAATGGCTCTTGCAGACCGAGGAGTTCAGAAACTGGTATGCCGGTAGCGAGGAAAGTGAATCCAATAACGGATTATTGTTTTGCTATGGAGATCCAGGGGTGGGAAAAACTTACATTAGGTAAATAGGATGAACCTGATGGAACGAAATAAAACAGGCAAGCGCTGACTAGCCACGATATTAGCTCGCTAGTGATAGACAGCTTGTACGATCGAGCGAGAGGACAAAATGCTAGTGTCGCATGCTTTTATTTTGACTTTGCCGCCCAAAAGGTGCAATCTTCCACAAGCGTGCTGCGTGCCCTATTGAAACAGCTGGTCGGGGGACTGGAGGATCTCCCGGAGGAGATATCGCAAGCATACCAAGACCAAAAAATTTCCCTCGGTGGACGGGAACCGGGGCCTTCCGATATCTTGAAGATGTTGCAGATTACCTCCTCCAAAAAGCGTCCCTTCATATGCATCGATGCTCTAGATGAATGCGCAGCCGGACATCGAGTCAAGATTCTTGATTCGCTAAATAAAGTTCTCCAAAATTGTCCGGGCACTCGAATATTCGCGACTGGGAGACCGCACATTCGGCCCGAGATCGGAAGGCGTCTAGCTCGGAGAGGAGCCAGCTTATCCATAAGTCCCAAGAGAGATGATATCATTAGGTATCTCCATAGCAGACTAGACGAGGATACGAACCCAGATGCGATGGACAGTAGCTTGGAGGCGGACATCCTGAAAAAAATCCCTGATGACATTTCCGAAACGTACGTACGAGCCACAACGCCAGAGAAGCTGGCTCAAGTCATCCGCTGACACATACATATCTAGATTTCTACTCGTCTCGCTCAACATCGATACCATCCTGCAAGAAACAACAATCCATCGCAGGCGACAAAAGCTTAGTGCATTGACCGATGGGTTAGGGTTGGAGGAGGTTTATGGTGCAACGATAGGCCGGATAAAGGGACAGGGTGGGGAGAAAGCGAGGCTCGGAATTGCCGCCTTGATGTGGATCTCTC